AAAATACTATATCATATTTTTTTTAGAAATTGCAATTTTCTTTTAATTAAAATCGTTCTTTTAAATATTTTCTTTGATTAAAAGAATATTTTATATTTAAATCATATAATCATATTATATTTTATATTAATTTAAATACAAACTATATAGAAAGCATTTATTTACTTTATGATATAATATAAAATATATGTTATAATATAAAACAATAGCAAAAAATATAAATTATATATAATAATATGCTATTATTTATAAACATGATAAAAAAAATGATATGAAAAAATTACACACATGCACATACATTTTTCAATCAAATATTTTTTATTATATAACTATGAAGAATAATAAATTAAGAAATTAATATTTAGCTCCATCTGTACTAAATGTACATGCTTGATATGAAATTATTAAATAATATCAAAGTATTATATATGATATTTTGAAGTACTATTTAATCTTAAAATGAGATGGAAATATGAAAAATATAGTATAAATAAATAAAATTTATGATATTGATAATACTTTTATAAAATAAAAAGCTAAATTAATAACTGTTAATAAGATATTATTTTACCAATGTTTTATTTAATGATTGAATGATATTAGATGCTAATTCAATAGTTTTATATTGCAGTATAACAATAAGGTAAATCATATTACTAACCTTTGAATACCTACAAAATTTCATACTTGAAGTTCAGGGTCAGTAATTCTGAAAATATATTGGAATTTATATTTTCATATATTTTTTTTTAATGAAATTTTTTAATTTTATTTAATAAAAATTTCTTATTAGATTTTATAGTACTTCAACATTCTAGCTAGTTTTTAAGATGTTAAATAATATAATTAATATACTTTATACTTTATTAACAAAATCTAAATGTTAATAAATAATATTATGAATAGTATAATATTTATAATTAATATTATTTTTTTAATATCTATATTCATAGGTATTCTTTTTTTAGGAATTGTAATAATTTTAATAAAATTATGTACATCTATAGCACCGATGAGATAAATAAAAAGATTTTGTGCATATGTGCAATTTTATTATAAAATATTATTATATATTTTTTTATAATCAATAATTTAAAAATTAAAATTAATATTATGTGAATTTTATTATAATCATGTGTTTAGAACTATATATTTTAAAAAAATATTTTTGGAAATCAAATATTAATTTTTAATAAATAGAATAATCTGTAAAATAGTATAATATTACAAATACTTATTATAAATTGCATTCCAAATTAAAACATAAATATATGTTAGACAATGTAATCAAATTAAAAAGTGAGTTACAGCAAAGAAATTAAATGACAGAAGATAAAAAAATGACAATGTAAGAAGCATGATTTTGATACAGACATCATTATACCTGTCCTGCCTACTGTGGCCAGATGAGAGGAATCCACGCACTGTATTGCCTATAGCTGCTCGCTTTTTAACTTCTTTTTTTCGTTCTCTGTACCCACCAGATCCAGTGTCCACTTGGTCTTGACGGGTATTTCTATCTCCCTGTAATATAATCCTGAACTTAATAACAAATGAATATA